AAGCCGAAAGCACCAGCCTGAGGATGGCGAGTGGGACCTCACCGAAACATCGCCAAGATACTCGTAATCTTACATGGGAAAAGACCCGAACATACCTAGACCTACATACCTGTACCTGTGAAAATCTACGAAAACAAATTATATATATATATGATGTAGAATTTTATTTATTTATTTTGTCGTGTTCATATGGTATATATTGGAGGTGGAGAACCTTTGAGAGCTGTAGGCAGTGAAACTTCATCTTAATGTATGCCAATTGGTGTACATTCAAAGTGACAATAAAGTTATTCTAAGTGTGTCAGTAAAGACAGCCGTCACCCGCTCTGTGGAAATCAGGTGTTTTGCAGACCAACGTCCTCAGTTCCTCCTGGTTGTGGAGATATTTATTTATTGGACTTAATACGCTGCTCACTCCCTCACCCATGGGCCAGTATAAATACACAGTGGGCTAATTTGAACCACAAACAAACTTTATGGGCTAGACTGAGATCAGCACGGACTGTATTGACTTTTGTTCTACAAACACCAGGAGATCTATCTCTCTGGGGTTGCCCCAAAGAAGAGAGGGAGTCAAGCTATTCTCCGAAGCACCAAAGGCAAGACGAGAAGCAATGGGTAGAAACTCATCAAGGAGAGAAGCAACCTGGAATTAAAGAGGAATTTTCTAACAGGGAGGACAATTAACCAGTGGAACAACTTATCTCCAGAGGTTGTGGGTCCTCCATCACTGGAGGCTTTTAAGAAAAGATTGGACCACCATTTGTCTGAAATGATGCAAGGTTTCCTATTTGAGCAGGGGGTTGGACTAGAAGACCTCCAAGGTCCCTTCCAACTCTGTTATTCTGTTCTGGTCTGGTTACCAAGGGCCCAGATTTGGATCGTGTGATAGTGGGGATGCTATAGTGGTCTTAAGTGTGAGGACCAGTCCTAACTCACTTTTTTTCCAGTGCCATTTTTGAATGGTCATTAAACAAACTGGCTGCAACTCCAGGATCTCCTGGATTTCAATCAAACACAACCCTCCCATTTCCCTCCATTCGCCTCGGTTTTGCTTCTTGCAAGTCTGTCGAGAACATGATTTCCTTGCACGCGCATGCACACATGCCTACAATGCACCTGAGATTCTAGCATGATCTTGGACAAATACTTTTTCTCTTCGGTAGTAAAAGCTTCTTGCTTCAGTTCCTCAAACCGTTTGGCCATCCATTCCTTCTCTTGCATGCTGGACAGCTGGCCAGTCTCTATGGAGATAGGTCCACAAAAGATGTCTTCCAGATAAGACAGGACATCTTCAAGCGAGGCTTCGTCCTTCCCCATGTTCAAAAGCCCTGAAGTGGAAGGAAGGAAAGAAGGGAAGGAGGGAGGGAGGAAAGAAAGAAAAGGAAGGAATGAAGGAAGAAAAGAAAGGAAGGAAGGAAAGGAAGGAAGGGAAGGAAGGAGAAAGGAAGGAAAGAAAGAAAAAAGGAAGGAAGGAAGGAAGAAAAGAGAAAGGAAGGGAGAAAGGAAGGGAGGAGGGAAAGAAAGAAAGGAAAGGAAGAAAAGAGAAAGGAAAGAGAAAGGAAGGAAAGAAAGGAAGGAAAGGAGGAGAAAGGAAGGAAGGAAAGGAAAGGGAAAAGGAAAGGAAAGGAGAGAAAGAAAAGCTCACCTCTGGACATCAACCATCCAAGATGCCAACAATAACACAAATGTTCTCCCTGCAAAACTGTCAGTGAGTTGGACCCTTGTGGAATTTATTGGTGTATTCACGGCAACCTAAGAGAGCCAATTTGGTCTAGTGGTTAAGACACCTAGAAACTAGGAGATGGTGAGTTCTAGTTCCACCTTAGCCATAGTTGGGTCACTTTGGGCCAACCACCAGGAGACGGTGAGTTCTAGTTCGGCCTTAGCCACGAAAGCTGGCTGGGTGTTCTTGGGCCAGTTATACTCTCTTAGCCCAACCCACCTTGCAAGGATGTGGTGAAAAATAGTAGGAAGATATTTTGGATATATTCACCATCTTAAGTTGTTTATTAAAAGAAAAAACAATAAAGGTGGGAGGTACATAAATAAAATAATATACAATACAGAATACAGTTTGCCATTACTCTGTTTTGGATTTTTTTTGTTTACATTTTCTGTCTAGTTTCCAGCTGTAGGGTCTGCTGGTGAACTTCATCCATGTACAGTGTGTCAGGATCCCAGCAATCACCCTAATTAAATCATGATCCTCGAGCCAAACTTCAAAAGGATTCATTAGAGACGACATGCTGGCATGACCTATATGAAGCCAACTCCGGCGTACGTCATTCTCAGGCCCTTGTGACCCTGTTTCCCCCCCTCCTCCCAGGTGTGTCATAAATCAGATTCTCCAATTGAGCCCATTCACAGGCTGGATGTCATCAATCACGTTCTCCAATTACGGGCTGGGTGTCATCAATCACATTCTCCAACTACGTTCTGGGTGTCATCAATCACATTCTCCAATTACGGGCCGGGTATCTTCAATCACGTTCTCCAACTACGTTCTGGGTGTCATCAATCATATTCTCCAACTACATTCTAGGTGTCATCAATCACATTCTCCAACTACATTCTGGGTGTCATCAATCACATTCTCCAATTACAGGCTGGATGTCATCAATCACATTCTCCAATTCAATATATTCACAGGCAAAAGCTCCGGTAGTTTAGTTACAATCCTTTAAAGATAAAGAGTTGGAATGTACTTTTGCTTTCCCACCCTTTTTTGTGGCAACTACTCAAACAGGCCTAGGAACGTTTTATGAGTTGACACAGTCAAGGTTTAAACTTCTCCATTCTACGATCTTCCACCACTGCAGGAAAAAGCTATTTCTGAATTGACACCGAGTTGGACGCAATCCTAAAGATACTTTACTTTACTAAAGTAATGATCATTTCACGTTACCTGCCGTGTGGAAAGGGCCTTGCAAGGTTTCCGCCAACACCTGGATCTCTGGCACCTCCTCCATCACCCCCTGGCCAGCAAGGAGAGGATTGATTTTGGCAGCCTTGTGTCCATGTTCATGATAGGACGCCACTAAACGAGCCAGCCCATGGTCAACTGCAAATGAAAAGAGGATAAGTGTAATTTCAGTACGTTCCCAAAACTTAACACAAAGTGAGAAAGCGTAGGAAGAAATCCACATTTCTTTTATTAAGTCTGATGCAGGTAAAAATATAAAGGTACTCCTCGGCTTATGACCACAATTGAGCCCGACCTGCATTTCTGTTGCTAAGTGGGATAGTTGGCAGTTTGGACCCTTTTTACGACTGTTCTTGCCATTTAGTTGTTAAGTGATCACTGAAAAGTTAAGTTAGTCACACCGTTGTTAAGTGAATCTGGCTTCCTCACTGACTTTATTCTTCAGAGGGTTGCAAAAGGGAATCATGTGACCCCAGGGACACTGTGACTGTCGTAAGTATGAATCAATGGCCAAGTGGCCGGATTTTGATCATGTGACCACAGGAGATGTTGCAACAGTCGTTAAGTGTGAAAAATGGTCATAAATCACCCTTTTCAGGGCTTTCCATTCATCCCCTTCCTTCCTTCCTTCCTCATCTCCTCCCTCCCTCCCTCCTTTCCTTGTTTTCCTTCCTTCCAGTCATCCCCTTCCTTCCTTATCTCCTCCCTTCCTTCCTTCTTTCCTTCCTGTTTTCCTTTCTTCCTTTCACTCATCCCCTTCCTTCCTTCCTCATCTCCTCCCTCCCTCCATTTTCCTTCCTTCCTTCCTGTTTTCCTTCCTTCCACCCTGTTTTCCTTCCTTCACTCATCTCCTTCTAATTAAACGTAATTTTGACTGCTACCTACAGTAGCACATAGAATCAATGTTAGTTGGGTTGACAACAGTGATACTCCAATCGTAAAATCATGGCAGAAATTTGGGGATAAACTGCCAGGAGGTGTCCTTGCCAAAGGCACAACAACTATCTCAGGCAGGTTTATTGAAGGTTTAGGGAACCCATATTTTCTCTTTTATTTTTGTTTGAAGAGGGGTGGCAGAGAAGCGGCTTCTCCCCTTCTTGGCCATAGGCAAAAGCCTGATCCAGTAAAGAAGGAAGCCACAAGATCACTGACTGATCTGCCAGCAAGGTGGGGATCAAGTCACTTTCCTCAGCATGCCTTTGAAGTTAAACTTTATGGAGGCTGGGTAATTATAATAGCCATAAAAAGCTAGCTTTCAGGTGAGGAGGGGCAAAAGGAGGATCATATCTGGTATTTCAAGCTATGTCACATAGAAAGGCAACTCGCAACTCAAGCCATCCTCTTCCTCCCCTCCCCTCCCTCTCTTCCTTTTTCCTTTCCTCCTTCCTTCCTCCTCATCCCCTTCCTTCCTCATCTCTTTCCTTCCTTCCCTTTCTCCTCCTGTCTTCCTTCCACTTATCCCCTTCCTTCTTCCTCCACCTCCTCCCCTTCCTCCTCCTGCCTTCTACTCATCCCTTCTTCCTTCTTCCACCGCCCTCCCTCCATTTCCTCTTCCTGTCTTCCTTCCTTCTACTCATCCCCTCCCTTTCTTCATCTACTTCCTTTCTTCTTCCCTTTCTTCTACTCATTTCTTCCTTCCTTTCCTTTCTCCTCTTCCTTCTTCTTCTACTCATCCTTTCCTACTTTCTTTCCTTCCACTCATCCCCTTCCTTCCTTCACATCTCCTCCCTCCCTTCTTTCATTCCAGTTTTCCTTCCGTCCTTCCACTCATCCTCTTCCTATTTTCCTTCCTTCCACTCATCCCCTTTTTTCCTTCCTGTTTTCCTTCTTTCCCCATCTCCTTCCTCCTTTCCTTCCTTCACTCATTCCCTTCCTTCATTTCCTCCCTCCCTCCTTTCCTGCTTTCCTTCCTTCCTTCCACTCATCTTCCTTCCTTCCCATCTCCTCCCTCCTTTCCTTCCTTCCTATTTTCCTTCCACTCACCCTCTTCCTTCCTTCCTGTTTTCCTTCCTTCCTTTGTTCCACTCATCTTCTTCCTTCCTTCCTTCCCATCTCCTCCCTCCCTTCTTTCTTTCCTCCTGTTTTTCTTCCCCCACTCATCGCCTTCCTTCCCTCCCGATCATCACGGTCGGAGCGATTATTGCAAGCCCCCCTCTCCAGGGACCCCCAGCCCCCTTCTCCTGTTCACCCCCCTGCCACCTGCTGGCCGCCAGGCCTCCGCTCGCTCCGCGGCCCCGCGGGGCTCCTGGGCCGGCCGGCCGGGCTTGTAGCCATAGACGCCGCGCTCGCTGTGGTAGGCGGCGCGCCCTGGGGGCCAGCGGGCCAGCAGCGGCCTCCAGCCGGCCAAGCAGCGCGCAGCCACCGCGGCCATCCCAGCTCGGCTGGTCCCGGGCCGAGAGCGGCAGAGACGTCCCGCCTCCCCCGACAACGCCCCCGGCCCTGATTGGGGCAGGCGGAGGGGAGGGGGCGGAGGACACGCCCACAGGGGAGAAGGTGGGGGGCTCCGGTTGCAGCAGGTGATGGGGTGGGGGGGAGGGGCAGCGCCTCCTCCGCTCTTGCGAATTGCAACCCGTGCAAAAAAAAAAAAAAAGGCAACCTGGGTTGCAAGTTTGCAAAAGGTTTTGCGTCAAACGTTGCATCCTTGGAGCCTTTAAGCATCAAATAACAGAATGACAAGAGATGGAAGGGACCTTGGAGGTCTTCTAGTCCAGCCCTCCGTGCTCAAGCGGGAGACCCTGTACCATTTCAGACAAGCGGCCGTCCAGTCTCTCCTTAAAAACCTCCGGTGATGGAGAAGGAAGGAAGGAAGG